CTTTTTCTTCTTTTTCTCCACCGTCATTGTTAACTTATTGCCATTCTTGGTGTCAAACGATCATCGTCGCACCTATCAAAACTAAAATAATCTACTGGTTTCGGTTACCAAACTCATAACACCTCAGCAGTCGGTTCCAGTTAGCTAGCAAGTTAGCCAGCTAGCTAAATGATTTCTCATCCCCACCTCACTTCAACTCGTCTTCCTGTACTAAATGTTGACCCGCCTCTCTCATCCAATACCGAGCAACGATTGGTTTTTAGATAAACGTGTATATCCACACGATGCGTCTGATTGGTTCAGAGAAACGTTAACGTTTGATCCTAGTGATTTGTGGACATCACATCGCGGGCAACAAAGAGGAAAACCCTTATATGGCGAGATGTATATGTTCAACCTCCTCTGTGAACACAATTACCACAGTGTCATAGCGTATACTGTACGTGCCGTTATACATTCAGTTTTTTTACTTGAGTAAACAAATAAATAGCATAAAATAAGCAAAGGTAGGCTAGCATTCATACAGAGTGGGTCATTTCACAATAATGTGTATTATTGGATTATAATGATGCATTCATATGCAGTCTACTGTCACGTGTAAAGGAGACGCTTACTTACTTCTGATCTTAACTAAAAATGCTAATTTATAGTTTATGGATTAGCAAATTTTTGGATCATATTTAGGGCTACTAGTCTGAATCTGCAAAATAAATGCATAGTAAGTAATTGTAAATGTAGTGGAGAAAAAGGTATCATATTTACTTCTGAACTGTAGTGGGGTACAAGTACAAAGTAGCTGAGAATGGAATTTCTCATGTAAAGTATAAGTACTTCAAAATTATAGTTAAGTACAGTAGCCTACCTCAGTGAATGTATTATTTTCCACTGCTGCTTTTGCCATACCACACAACTGTTGTAAATGCAACAATGCAAACTTCTTTTTGCAGTGCATTTTCAATATTTTCCTACACCTAAAGCCCCTAAGAAATGCTAGTTTAAAAAAGAAATTTACTTATGACTTTATAATGAAAGCATTTCTATACATGCTCCATGTTATATAATTGTTATTTTACATTTTGAAGTCACTTTTTTACTTCTATGTGTTTTCTGTTTGAGTATTTTGTTAGTTTGAAAATGTTTTATTATGTTATCCCCTGTGTGGGTTATACTGTTTCAGACTTGAACATTTAAAAAGTAGAACTGATCTGTGATGCAATACAATACAGGATGAAGATATGAATTATATTCAGAGGGGGAAAATATGGAAAGGGGTGAATGTGCAAGCACTGGCTAATATAACTTTAAAAATGACAAAATGGCACAGTTTTGTGTAGTAATACACATGCAGCTCAATGACTTTTACACTTCTGAGAATGTTAGAAAATTAGGAAATAAAAACCTTTTGTGTTGGAAATTTGCCACAGGGTGTATGCAACATAAATTTATAGTGAGTCACAAAAATCATTTAACTAAGTTTGGACTAGAAATAAGAACAGAACTTGCATTTTCTTGATCTAGAGAAGTATCTAGCAGTAGTCAAAAAATTGTGTTTGTCATGGCAACGCTTTCAGTCTTTGGTTCAGATTGACTATAATCACTTATAATGAACATTTGAGAACAAATGAATTGAAAAATGTATTATATTTTTAGGTTTTCCCATGATCCAGCTCCTGATAATTACAAACTTTTAATACAAAATTATATTGAACACAAAATCTGCCTATCACCCAGAAATATATGCTATAATTTTCATTCATGTTTTAAAGACAGAAAATTTATTTATTTATTTTTTGTCAGGTTTATGGTGGCTCCTGAAGTGCAATTTTAGCAGATTTATCGGTTATTGAGTTTAGTTTCAAAATGAATTAAGATTTTTTCATAAATTTTTTTAAAATATAATCAAAGGGAAAAAAAGTTCATATTTACAAAATAATTCAGAATTTTAATATAAAAGCTTGTCATTAATATTTTTCTATGATCTCTACTCAATATTTTCATTTATTTTGAGCAGGTTTTTATAAGCTTTGTTATTTACATTATACTTTTGTCAGGGTGATACTAAGGTACTGAACCTAATTCCTGTCCAAAATACTGTATGTCACATACTGTGACATGCATACTGAAACCTATAACAGAACAATTATTAGTTTTACTGGTATTGTACAGATGAGTTAATGTGTTATTTATTGAGATTATAGCAAGAAACACTTGAAAATGGTCAATTTTTTTCAGCTTGTGCCAAAGACGAACTTGGAAGAAGTCCACTAAAAACTGCATCATACCTTTTATAAAATGTACAGGCATCCATATTAAACACCTACATGTAGAGACCAAATGTTTACCTGGTGAAACTAATACAGTGCAAAGAAAAGTGACAGACGGAAATATTTTCAGTCTGAGAGACAACAATACTGTATGACAATTTCCTTTATACATATGTGTGCCGAATCAGTGGTTAGTCACAGCAGTAGATATCACAGGAAAAATGAAAAGCTGAACAACAATTTCAGATGCACAACACTGCATTTAGGGAGAACACAAATGTTTTTACTATGGAGATTCACTTTATGCAAATTGTTAGAACTTTTTTGGTACGCCTAAAAGACTTTTGTTTCACAAAAACCATAAACTCCCATTAGTACCACAGTGGTTGAGCTCTGAATATCTGTCCATTATTAAAGGAGATACTTGTAGCCTCAATTCCTCATTACAATTTGTTGTTTTCCTGTACAGATGAGTCCTACCTTCTATAAAATGTGTACTTTAAAGATCTGAACTATGTATAAAATCACATACAGTGTATTGATTTAGAGTCTGAGTAGTTGCCACTGTTGATTCTTCTTCAAATGCATTATAAAAACCCTGGAGAGACAGTCCGTATGGTGTCCCGTTAAATACAAATACATTCTCAAAGCACTTTGTTTCTATAGCAGCACTGACAAAAGGAAGTCTATAAAACAAAGTGCTCGTTTTTTTTCCCACAACACAAGTCTTCTATTAACACATCCTTAAAAATATTCAAATTATTACAACTTGTGGTGTTATGCTCAAGTTAAATCTTCATCTTCATCAATGAAAGGGATGTCCAGGCTGTTAAAGGTCCGAGGCAAAGTCTTGCTGGTGACCTGGGGCTTGGTGGTTAGACAGGGATCATCTTGGCTGGGCAGCAGTGACATGGATTGAGTAGCATCTAGCATGGACTCTCTCTGTTCATCATTTGTTTGAGCCATCAGATTTCTGACTCTCTGTGCCAGGTCAGGAGGCTTATGCAGCCAGTTGGATGCTTGGGTCTTCAATCGCATGGTCACCTTTCCTGGTAAATGCAACATCTGATTAGAAAACATATTTGGTATGAGCTTTGTAGAACAGAGACACTATCAACCACAAGTTCCTGTGTTGGTTTGACAGTGTACCATCGCTTATTTATAGAAAAAGAAAATAAAAGGAACTTCATATAAGTAGAACCAGTTATTCTGATAAGAGCATCTAGTGTGTAGAGTTAAGAGAATATAGAACTTCTGAACCTCTGTTCTGTTGTGATTTAGTGTCCTCCAACCTGGTCTGAGGGAAAACCCACTTATGGCTGTTCTAAATGCAAATATCACCACCTCTGACATTGGAAAGGTGTGACAGTCGAAACATCAGCGTGCTTCAGTTGGAGTAGTTGTCAGATGGTCAGTGTCTAAAAGCCCCTACTCCACAACCTTTCTAATGCTAGAACTGGGGTGGTTATATCTGACAACTTAAATAATTTTCTAAGATGACAATCACACCCACTACTTTTGGCCATGTGAGATGATGTGTGAAAAAGTAAGGCAGGATTTGAGCTTCTCTCTTAAGCTCTTGTGTCATTCTTCACACAGCTCCTTGCGCCTATAACTGAGGGCAAACACTTTCATGGAGAAAATGTAGGGCCTTATCTTCACTTGTATGATTCATTGTTTTGAGACTACAAGGGCATGAGAAAGGCACAGAGAGCCCTGCAGACCTGCCTGTTTTCTGCCCTCCTGAAGAGTGTGGTCATTAGTAGTGGGTACGGTATGAACACTTTTGATGTTAGATGTTGTCCAAAAGTTACCTTCAAGCATATTGAAATCACTATTTGTTGTCTATACACAGAAACATAAGCTATTATGTTCATATAATGTCTGACATACCATGGTGGCCAACTGATTCTAACCCAGAGGAAGGTGAGAGTACCTTACCTCCCTACTGACCTTCCAGTTCCAGGCTTCTCAGTCGTTCTTCTAAACTCTCTGTGCTCATCGATGAAGCCGAGTCCAAGTTTTCATTGTCAGACTGCTCCTGCTCCAGATCAGGTAACCTACAGGCCAACTCCACCCTGACAATAACAAATCAAAATCTCATTCAGAAATGTGATTTTGAACACATGGTTCAATTGACGATAATGAAACAATTATATCTTACTTTTCTTGCTTGATGGACTTGATCCTTTCAATGAGAGTCTTCTCTGTTTCATCAGTGTGTGTTTCCTCTTGAACAGTCAGCTTTGAAGGCTTGTCAACAACCTACACAGAGATCAGAGCAGTGGTTGGTTGTCAGCTGCTGAATAAACACCCTGTCTCCAAATCCCATACACTTTATTTCATAAGGGAACTACTTTCTACCTACTCTAAAAACTATATTCTTTCAGACTGACAAGCCTTTAAGGATACAGGTGGGCATTTTCTATAGTGATAGTATTTTCAACAATCCCCCTACAGAAACAAAGAACTGTCTTTCTTTGCCTCTGATGGTCAATTTAACATGATTCTGTGAGCAGGTTTACTCCCCACCCCAAGTATAGTCTCCAATGTCTTGTTTTATTTTATGATCTTTGCAATATTCCAGCTGGATTGACAAACTTAAAAACTGGCTTATCAGTGTCCTCTCACCGTGTTTTGTCTCCTCAATTTGAGCTGATTAACAGCCAGGGCTTCTGCGTATTCCAGCTCATGGATATTCTGCATCTTCTCTTTGTAGCGTCTGAACTGCTCACAGATTAGGATCTCCACACACCTGCAAGTAAGTAAGTCAGTGCAGAATACACCCCACTAGAAACAGTGTCCATCTCTATGGACATCTCTATATCTAACAAGAACACATACGGTATTTCAAAGCTGGATCTGAAATGCAAAAAACTACCATTCATCTAGAAGATGTAGAGTTAGAGTTCAGTTTCAATATGATAACTCACAGTGTAACCTTGGACACGTCCTTCATACAGAGAAAGGGGTCATCAGTATCAGGAGGCCGCAGGATGCAAGGGGCAAACACAATAGCAAGAGCTCCTGGTGACATCTTATTGTGCTGTTCTTCCTTTGCAACCCTAAAAAAAAGAGGGGTCAAGCTGTCACAGGACATTTCTCATAAAACTACACACAAATAAAATGAAATCTTCCTACCTGACAAGGTGAAAGATGAGCCGCTCTAATGTGTTATAATTAGCAGGAGGAAGTTCATCAATCTTTTGGTATATACCCCTTATTCTTTCATCTTTCTCTGGTAGCTCTGTGGGTGGAAAAACAGAAATAAATTTGACCACCATGGACAGCTTCTAAAGTATGAGTTAATATGTTTACTGTCTACAAAAATAGATATGCACAATAATCATACAGCGATTCCCTCCAAACCTCTAAACAGAAGAACCCCATTTAGGTCACACAATCTATGGTAACACATCTATCTCACTGATTCTGTTTTATATTATCTCTTATTCTACCATGAAAAATAAGCACATTCATCAGGAACATACTTGTATGCAAACTAGACCTATCAGGGTGAATATTAAATTATGTATATATATAAAAAATGTCTATTTACTCACCCACAGCATGCAGAAAGTCACTATAGAGGGAAAAGGTCATGAGAGGGTCAGGCAGCTCTCTGAGCCACCGTTTAACCAGGCCTGTAGTGGTGTGGATGGGGTAGTTCTCTAAACATGCTGCCTCAGGATCTGATGACAAAAGACAGGGCACACAGAAGAAACACAAATTTCAAAATTATTTAATTAGTATTTGACTACATTTGTGTATTTATTTATACTGTCAGGTTATTTAATGACAAGTATTGAGTGTATATTTTGACAAAATATATAGCAGGAATAAAACGACATGCTCTAACTTGAGCCATCTCAAAATAAATTCCATGTATAAACTTTAGAAGAATTATTTTATGTTTATCTACAAGAGAATTAAATTGGTTACAATGCGACATTGCAGGAAATGCTTTTTTGATGTAGCTCTAAATCATTTACACCGACTATAATACCAATTAATAATACAAGAACATCATTTTGTGAAACCCTAACCTGTTAAGTACACACGTTTTAGACAGACTCTTGTGTATTTTAAGTTCAAGTAGTGTGCAAAGAGTTCCTTACTAGTCTCCAGAATCTGGTGGAGCTCCCTTGCTTGCAAGGCCGAACCTGACTTGCGGTAAATGCCCTCCGTATAAAGGCCGTTTAGCTCCACATGCAAAAGCAACAACTCCATTACCTTTGGCACTGGGTTGGAGTTACTGCTAAGGATACACACCTGTACCCCAAAGTGAAGGGAGCCAGGCACACTGCCATCCTATCCCACAAGATAAGGGGAGTACATATGAGACACTGACAGGGAGTCTTGAGAAACTGTGTCTTTAGTTACTCAACCACACGTTAGGATTTGTTGAGAGCATTTAAAATGTCAGTCTCTACCTGCTGTGCACACCGTGTTGAACAATCAGTGGTGATTTTGCTCAGACATTTCTTGTGGCATATTAACTTGCAAGCTAAAATGACAAATATAAGAACATATTAGACTATTATCATAGTCTCCTGGTAGTTTTTAAAGCAGTGTATCTCTCTGAACTCACCACTGCACATGTAGGCTTTCTCCATTCCCCAGATGTAGGAGCCACACATGTCACATGACTGCATAATGTTCACCTGGTATGTGCTGAACAGGTGATCCAGAGGACTGTCAGGCTATAAAGACAGGGTGTACAGGCAATAAACTAGGTTATTACCCGAGATTTATAAGGCAGAAACTCAATAGTGCAGAAAAAAACTATTCAGCTTACACATTTTTCCTTCTTCCTCTTGTTTATCATCTTTGTAGCCTGAGAGAAACCAGAAGTGAGATATATGAGTGAGCCAAGTGAGAGTTTATAATCTCAAAGTGGTTTAGAGACTGGCGATTGGCTGTAAATCTTCAGTTTACCTTGGCTGGTTCAGACTCCACTCGTTTTAGCTCTGCCCTGATGAAGCCGTCCAGCACAGACTCAAACAGAGTAACCACCAGTGAGACTTCTGCCTTCTGCATGGGTCCTGCTAGTGAGTTCACTTTGTTATGGTAGCTCATCATTAGATCTTTGTAGGCAATCTGGGGCTTCTGTCAGTCACAAAATGTATATGAACAGTACAGTTAGTCACTACTTTTACTCTAAAGCCAATCTGGCTTGTTTGTAAGACAACTAATGGCAGGCCTTTGATAAGTGACTTCAATATAAACAGCAGTATAGTGTGACATGCCAGGAAGAGATGAAAAAGAAAACAGTTAGCCCTACTTTTTCTCTGCTACATGAAACTTTCTGTGACTCACTGGTTTGGAGGAAGATACTAAACTCACCTGGATGGAGTACATGCTTTTTATTGTCTCTCTGAACTGCACGGTGGCTGTGAGGAAGAGGCTCTCTGCTGGCGATAGCTTTTTTATTCTTGATTGCAGCTCATTCACCTGATGAAAAGATAAGCAAATTATGAACAAGTGGAAGATAGGATTCTGTTTTGGGCATTTTTGCCTTAAGTGGATAGCTGATATTGAAGAGGTAGGAAGGGAAGGAAACGGGGGGGTAATGACAAACTAACATAGGCCATTAATCTAAAAATGAAGTGGTTGCCATGTGACACAGGGCAGCATTCTGCTGCGTTTTTCTCCCCCCTCCTCAGGTGGTGAGCTCACCTGATTGCCCAGGAATTCGTCCAGGTTTCGCAGCTCCTTGGGGTCTTTGATCTCTCGGTCCAGAGATGTGTTCCACTCAGTTGCCCGTGTGGCCCGGCTGATTCGAATGGTGGGATTTCGATTGATCCTTGTGCCGCTTTGGTTTGGCGCTTGGTAGGCATGTTGGGTGTAGCTGGGCAAGGTGGCTGTAAGTGACAGGAGGAGAAATGGCTTTGTTTGTCTGAAAACCAGAAGTTACCACTATGTCTGTTTGTGTATGTGTAGTGTAGAATACAATATGTGATGTGTAGAATATTCAATAAAATACTGTATGTATATAATACTTTTATGTATAAGATGGGGTATCTTAAAACTCAAATCCATAATGTCGGCTTGTCATAGAAAAACATTATGTTTGATAACAATTGTAGATCAGCAATTAACCTCTAGATGGCAGTGAAAAGAAGATTTGTGTAAACCAGTGATACACTGTATGTTGGTGAAATTGGGGGGCCCAGTAAACAAACTCCAGCATCATAAGAAAAATATATTTATACACACATACCTCTTCCTACCCTGCCCTTGCCTTAAAATGATTGACATCTTGTTTATCAAACTTGAAGTCCTCCCTACTACAACCAATTTAAAGCACATCACTATACATACAGTATGTGTACACTTAAAATATCTGTACCATACAGATAAATAAGTTTTAAAAAAAGCAATGTGACTGTACAAAATGTATGTACGTGAACCATGGCAGCAATAAAAAAAAAATTGATTTTGAAGTCCTGTTAATGCTTTGGGGACTCAGCATTGGATAAAATGTGGTTACCGGTTTTATCTGATGGCAAGTCGTTACTTGGCATACATTTGGGTGTCCGTTTCTTCAGGAATCGACTGAGAAACCAAACCCTGTAGAAAAGAAGATCTGTATAAATTCCAGTGCAGCAAGATATCAAATACGTTAGGTAATGTTTAGTGAAAAGTTTGGTTTTGAGGACTCAAACTGAATAATTTTCTTATTATTAAAGTGAGTGAAGCATTTTACCTCTCAGGACTTGTGACTGGTGAGTGATTGGACCCGTGCTGTTCTAGGTCCTCAGTGGTCCTGGACAGAACACTCAACCTCGACCCATCGGCTTCTGCTGGTGTCTGCAACAGTATTAAAACATGAACATGCTCCAAGTATAACATCTGTGAATGAGAAAAACCTAACAAACCAACTTTCACAGAGGAAAACCAAAAATGTTGTTCCTAATATTCTGCTCCACCAGGTCCCCCTGCAAAAGCCATACGCAATACTTCGGAAAGGCTTCCCACAGCTCCCCCCACCACCAAACCAGACCCCATACACTTTGTAAAATATCAGCAGTAGTCATGCAAAGCTCAACTTTGCCCTAACTTTGACCTTTTTTGCCTTAAATAGTATGAGCAAAGTTAGTTAAGATTTTAGTAAATTTATGTCACTGTCCTTGTGAACATTTATTATTAAACTATTATACAGCTTAGTAGGATTAAAATGATGAATTTACAGATTTAAAAATCAGATTTTTCATGGTTATGAATTAATCATTAAATGTGATTGGCTCAGTGCACCAACAGTACAATCTGTATGAGTAATCAACAATGATGTTTATATTATTACGGCACTATTATTTTTGCCATCATTTGAAAACCGTAATAACTGGTCTGTTTACATGAAGCCATGTAGTTTAAGATCAATACATGTTGCCATGCATTGTCTAAACAAATTCATATGATTAAGATGACACTATGGCAATATATCAAAAGACTGTATACATTTTTAATAATATTATTTTATAAAACCATTGACATAATTTATGGTTAATTTTTGGTGTACATGCACTAAAAACACAGTCACAATGAGTGTAAATGAAGGAATAATCTGGAACTGCTGAAGCCACAATGATCAAATTCCAGTCTTAATAAAAGGAACTCATTATATTCTAGGGGAGTCTAATGTGTACCTGCTGACCTACGGCCCATTTGGGTGAAAAGGCAAAAAAGATCAGAAATGAGCTTTGCAAACAAATTTGATATTTCCTTTGTGCTTGGAAGCAACAGCTCATTCTTAAAGGTCCACGGTTGCAGAGCAGAAATGAAACATTCCAGAACAATGCAACCTCCAAGGCCTGCATGCAGAGCAGCATCATGGCCAATCAAGCATCCCTCTGGTCAGTACCTCGACCTGAGATTTGAGGACCCGGATATCCGTGCAACTGGCCGAGCTCTTCAGGCTGGGCATATGAGGGCTGATGGGAGGCAGTGGAAAGCTCCAGCACTCACTCTCTTCAGAATCCCTAAAGTTAAACATCAAACGGGGGCCTTCGGTGATTCAGGTGTTTGATTTGAGGAGCATCAATTTAGGGGCTTTTTAACTTAGGCTCAAGATCACAATATACACAGCTAGACCACTTTGAATTGTTTAATCCATCATTTGTTGTTGTAAAGGACACTAACAACAGATATACAAGAAAAAAAAAAATACTTGAATGTTCTAGTTAAAAATGCAAACACACTGTTCTGAAAATTCTTCTGGATTATGTAGTAACACAAGGACAACTGTTACCTCGCTGCTAGGGGGTGAGCTCTCAGAGTCTGATGAGGTGATCTTGGACAGCTCTTCAGCAGACATGGACTTCAATCTGAGCCTGTTTCACAGGGGAAATAGGAGCCGAGATGTGGATTACTGGACTAAAATTAAACACTTTACAAGTACTGCTAACAGAATCAAGATGTACATTCTAAGAAGCTCTTGGCATGAAAACATCTTATCATGAGAGAGATGTACAAAAGACAAAAAGCTTATGAAAACATTTTAAAAGTTTATGACAGATGATGAATGTAGAAATTGAAAAACCTACACAAACCCATCTTTCCCATTTTCTTTTCGCTGGTTAATTTCTGGACTTGATTTGACTGTTGGTTCAAACTCGCCCTGTCTTTCCCTCCACCTCTCGGCCTTCTCCTTGATGTCCCCCGTATCTTTGTAGCGCTGAAGTGAGCTGCTTTTAGAAGGGCTGGGGGAGCGATCATTATCACCAACTTTTGCGTCCCCAGGGAACGAGAGGGGTCTGTTGAGAGAAGAGGAGGATGCTTCTTCATCTCTTTTCTCTCTGCTCCAAGCAGTTTGAGCGGACTGGTCTTTGGCTGGATCTGGCTGTGGCATCCTGCTGGGACTGAGCTCCAACTTGGGCTGTCTCTTTAATTCTTTTTTGGGGACGCTGTTATGAAAGAACCACAAAATCACAACAACTTTATCCATAATATGAATGCTAATGGATTATTATCTATTGCCAATTTTACATGAAATGCACAAAGTAAACTGAACTGTCTAGTTAAAACTACTCTTCATAGCTTATCACACATGTTGATTACAAATTTAAGGAAGCCTTATCACAAATGTTTGTTAAAGAAACAAAAACATCTGTTGGCTCATAGCATTATCTCTGGGTAATATTCTATCTGTTGTACACATGCAATATTCAGACACGCCTAATGTATAATGTGGCTACAATATCTATGTAAAGAGTGATTTAAAATCTATGCAATCAGTGTAATTTAGATTTGAGCGCTCATAGATGTTGGTGCTGGTGCTTCTGCAGTAAGAGCGATGTAGATACAGTGTTATGTATACCTGTCTCGACTAAGCCTGATTTGGGATGTTCCCTCGTCTCCCTCCTTGTCATGTTGCTGTTCTCTCCTCTTCCAGGAGCTCCTCCATGCTGTCTGGATCACTGTAGCGGCTCGGTTTTGGTTCTCATAAAACCCACGCCAGCTCCTCTGAAACACCAGAAATCTTTTGTCTTTAGACTTCAGTCTCCTGTTATGCCCTTTACTTGTTTTTAGACTTTAGGGAAAGTTCTTATTTTTGCTAGAACACTGACCAAGCAATGCTAAGTGCCTGAAAGCTTCTCACGGACCCCCTCCCAATTTAGATGCAGATGACTGAAGGACTCAGCAAAAGAAAATTGTCAATAAATTAATAGTAAATTATCCTGATTTTGATATTGTGGTAAGAAAAGTGGCTTTGGTTGTTTTATCCAGCTTGCCCTCTGAAAATGAGCAGGTCAAGGTCTTGTTACAAATTTAACTAGTGGCATGTCTTAAAATGTGTGGTTTGGCTGTTAACAGTGTTACTGAAAGCTGCAATGTTTTCATTTTTCACCAGTTCCCATACACAGAGTTCAAAACTGTATCTTTTATTCTAAAATATTTATATATGAACTGTACCTGTATGATCATTGCAGCATCTCTCTTTTGCACAAAGTGTAACCTTATCAGACAGACACGAAACCAGCGCTGCAGGATAACGATGCGACGCATCACTTCTTTGTTTAGAGTGTCTTGGAGCAGCTGCCTCTCCTTTTCCTTGAGGAACACCTGAGCAGATGAGAGGAAGAGTTTGAGGCACATTTGTACAGTGTAATCTGCATCACATGTAGCACATTTATTATTGTTTTTTATTACTTTCTGTATGAATAAAATCTACACTGTGCCACCCTTGGTAAGTGACACTGTTCTCTTATTCATGACAATACATTTGTTTACCTATAGTGGCCTTTTAATGTTCACAATATTTCTGCATGTTAATCCAAAACAACACAATAGGACATAATACAATAATAAATATCTGGCAATGATCCACATGACCATGGCGAGCTTTAACTGGATTAAATTATTAATACGACTTCTTTACCTTTGTTCCTCCTATTTGGTAAGTAGTCTTATCCAGTTGCAACTGTTCAAACAGTTCAGTTATTTGCTCCGGGGTTGCAGTGGCTCCTTTTGGAAGCAACATCCAGAACTTCTCAACAAATTCCTGTCACCAGGAGAAAAACATCAGACAACATTGATGGTACATGTTAACAGTGATATGTACAGAGGTGTTTAGTGCGGATGTCCTTTTTAGCATCTGTATACTTATAATCTTACCTTAAATGTGAACTTGGCACTGTAGCCCAGCTTCTGGATGCGAACCATCTGCAGTATGCCTGTGTACCTGATTTGCTGTAGCACAAGTTCATCATCAAAGTGCAGCTCCTTCTGCACAGAAAAAGTGATGAACTGTGTTATCCAGTCCAACATGTAGAACTAATGTTACCATGATGGTGTTACAGATTCAGCTTGACGTTACCTTTTCAGCGTTGGAGCGCATGCAGAAAATGAAGAAGGGCTCTGCTTTTTCAATCGTCTCCATCAGCTTTCCGAGTGATGCCTGTGTGATGCATCAGAGGGAATGAGTAATGGATGATTCTCAGTTATTACCACTAGGCTGTTCCTATTTTTATGGGTAGACATTACTCAGTGAGCTAAGACTAAACACAGACAGACAAGTATTTTCCCCCATGGTTTACTAAATACTTTTAGCAGCTAGCAGCAAATTGTTTTTATGAATGTTAGTTGTTGAAAAGAGGATTAGCCACCAAACAAACTCCTTAATACACAACTATGAAACCTAAGGTAAAGATGAACGGTAAGTATGAATAGAGAGACTGTCTGAAAAATCTAAGCAATCTCCCAATTAGACAGTAAATCTACAGGTTTTATCATCAATACCTAAAAACATTTGTAAAACATTATATGTCCACTGTTGAAAACCAAGAAAACAGAAAAAAAAGGTCTGAAATTCAGATATTCACATCTCTCAAATGAATTTTTATAGCAACCATAATACTGATGAGGTGATAAAAGTGACCGGTTACATGGCTGATACATTTTTGGGCAACACTTATAAATGCAACCTTCCTGTATCACATAATTGTGAATCAAACACTAATAGTCTGCACAGTTACACAGGGGACAAACCTGAAACTGAGCAGTAATTGTAGGAGGCCGCGTTCTCTGGAAAGGTTGGAAGATGGATTTGCTGGTTCGGTCGTGCGCTGTGAGGCCAACAACGTGTTGGAGTGAGTGCAAATCCATGAGGTTCTGTTTTATAAAAACATAAATAAGATCATCTTTTTGAGTTGCAAAAAAAAAGACCTGAATGAATATACGGATAAACACATGAAGTCAACAACGAATCTGACTCAAGGTGCATAACAAACATCTCATTTTACGTGCCTGACCTTCATCAACACTGCACCCAATAACACATTACCTTTGGAATGAGCTGCTTCTGTCGACCACTTCTATTTCTCCTGCAGAAAATGGAGACAAAATGAGGCTCCGTACAACAATACAGCTTTGGACACAGAATATTAGAAGTTGAAGAATAACGGATCAAAATCTGTGCTTTTAAACTAAATCCACTTACTTTCTCATTTCATAATTGTCAAAGATGTCTTCAAATAAATCAAGAGGATGTTCATCAGAGTGATCAAATGAGAAATCCAGAGTCATGCTGTAAATGTAACAGGTATTATAAGCAGAGGACACATTTTAATTTGTCTTTTGTGTGTACGTATGTACATTCACTCTGGGTCATTCTGGAATATTATTTGTGTTCAGGAAACATTTCATGTGTGTGATGGACATGTTAAGAGTGTCTCCCTGCCTTCTACTAACTGTATGCCAGGAAAGTCACTGGCATCTAGAGGGCATCAGCAAACCTGCTTTCATCATTTGTGAGGCCTTAGATATTTAACATCTTTAGTCGAGCTCAGGGTTCATAATCATGACACCAGACTACAGGACAGGCTGGCTTTAAAGGTTCGTTGTACCAGCTCTGAACTGGGGAAGACTGGTTTCCAGTACTATGCATCTCACTAATGGAACAAGCTTCAACACAGCTTGAAGTTAGAGACATTCAATCCTATGAGAGTCTTTAGGCTTTACTAGTACTTGTGACTGTTTTAATTAGTGTGTGATTGTTGTTTTGAGTGAATTAATTTCCTTGTTTTAATCTTCTGTACTGTATATGCAGTTTGTTCTCAGGTGTCCTTCGAGATCATGATCTCAGTGATTTCCTGAATAAATAAAGCTTAACTGACCGAATTAAAAAAATAATCATGAACAGTATTTTAAACAGTGCATGTTTTTGAAATGAAACCTGGATGGTTAATGCTGTGAAACAGAAAATGCCTTTCTGATTCAGACCCATGAGCAGGTTGAATATATTTGGTTATAACCAAATTAAAATCAAGCCACAGTGAGAAACAGACTGCAGTATATTTACCTGGACATTCTGTCTGCAGTACTGCTGCGGTGCCTCATGTCTTTGAGGGATCTGCGAGAGCTTTGCTTGGCAAGTGCTGTGGTAACAATACAACAAATAAATTGCAGCTGAAATTCAGGCTCGATTAGCAACTAAAGCTACTTACTTAATGCTGCCCGATGGCGTCCCATGTTTTTGAATACTGTGAGGATACGGATGGTCGCTCGGAGGATGCCCCATCTGAACAGCGCAGCTGGACTGGATGCAACCAGGTGATGCAGGAACGCCCGCTCACTGCTCCGTAAAAGTGATATGACTTCAGGGCGCATGTGTTCTGTGTTTTTCTCTCTGAACTCCTGAGGAACAACAATAATCATGATTAATATGCTAAATCACAGTAGTAGAGGTGTGATGCTTATCATGACGTCCCACGGTCCATGTGCTTGGCAGCCAATACATTTTAAATAAATAAGACAAATGGGTTGTCATCTAATTTGTTTGATTGGCCTGTGTTTACATATTAACAATTGGCATGACAGTACTATACATCCAATTTCAGGCCTATGTGTCTGTGTGAGGATACACACACACACACACACACACACACACACACACACACAGTGCACATCAGAACAGAGAAGCATGTGTTTTGGCTGCATTCACACCAAATCCTTCCCACAGGGTTGAACAACAGTGTGGCTGTGTTTACTCATGCTTTAGAATGTAACCACTGGTAAACAATCACACAATAATGTTTTAATTATCTGATTCACTTTGTTCTCGCTTATGCCACTCCCTCTCCTCAATGACTCTCTAGCTGTTTCTCTCTTTGTCTCACACAGATCTCCAATCCCTAACTCCACCTCGCCTCGTTTATACAGGAGGTTCTGCAAACTCATCTAGGCAAAAATACTACTTCTCGTTGTGGCATTTTGGAGGGTCAACATTGACGCCTCATGCCAGTACTGTACCTTTTACACATAACTGCAAGGCAGAAAACTGGTGAAAGATTTCTGCATTGAATGAGCAGTGTAAAAGGGACTAATAATGACTACAAACTTCACAGTACATCCACGGTCTTGTTGGGGGGAGGGGGCAGCATTAATCATTCACTTAGTTCAGGTTTTTCCCCATGCTGGTTTATCTATCAAGGCCACAGCAGAGCAACATTTTACAGAGGAATGCTGGAAAGTATACCTGCTGAATTTTAAATGTTGCTGAGGAAATTGTAATTTACAGTGTTGGGTGTTTGTACTGTGGGAACAATACTCCACCTTGATGTGGTAGGTCACCCTCCCAGCAAAGTGCTGAATAGTAAAAGCCGCCTTTGTAGGTTGAGTGAGCACAAAGAACGGGTTGGTCTGATGTTGCTGCTTCAACTTGTCGAACAGGGATTCATCTGTGGCTTGAGGAAGGCTAAAGTTACACAGACAGAAGGATAGAATATCCATTTCAACTTTTATCTTGGAAATAAAATGAGCCTGAATTAAAAAAAAAAGAGCAAGTGAACACCAACAGAAATTGCTGTATTATTCAAAAGGGGATACTGACAAACTAGAAAAATAGTAAAACACTGGATGAGCAATAATTCAATACTGATTGGTCACTAGATTTCACTTTTACAATAAGGTGATGACATGACAATATTACAATGGTATTAGGTAGATTTAGCAAATTTGAACCATTTTATAGAAGAAAATCAAGGCAATATGTGTAGATAATATGCGTTTGACATATAATGTATAGTAATAAATGTCCTTCAATGTGCTCATGTGAGGGTATACCGAATGTCTTTTTCAAATGCCTTGACTTCTTATTAAAGTAACCATAAAATGTTTAGTGTGAGAAATCATGGCAGGAGGCACGTTAAAGACCGACTTCACCTACTTGCTCTCCCTATCTAGTAGGTCAAAGAGTCCGGCGGATTTCATGCTGAGCAGCTGAATGCAGCCACTGTTGTCAATATACTTGATGTTTCGCCAAGTGATGCCCTCTGACGCATAATCGTCCTGGAAGAAATTTAGTCACACTTACATAACCATTTTTTTTCTGTGGAACCGCAGTGTCTGCAGGTTTTAAGACTCGTTAATACCAACTGGATTTTATAATAATGAAGGGAAACAAAGGAAACACAACAAGCTGAAAATGCCAAGAAATGTTAAAAGGACTACTGTGAGCAGCTTTATGATGTAAAACAGTGTGGTAAATCTGTAAAATCATGTAAGCAGTTTTTAAAATATAATTTCAGATGTTTAATTTTTCCATGATTTGCAGGGACCGAGCTAACTAATTACACAGGGTGAATGAAAAGCTGTGTCAAGTTGATGCAAATATGATGTAAAATTAAAATGAATATGTAAAAAAAAGAAGCTAAAAATATCTGTAAATACACCTACTTGCTCAAGCTTGAAGATGTTCTGGTTGATGTAAAACAGCAGTTTTTCATTTGTGTAGTTGATGCACAGCTGCTCAAAACTGTTTGTCTGGAGGTTCTCAAATCCAAACATATCCAAGATACCAATGGACAAACACTACATACAAAACAGCAAACAGTACGTTCATAACAAACATACAAATAACAATGTACGGGAAACGTCATTAACTGAGATATATATGCTTAAAAGGGACTTACAGAGATGGACTCCTCCATGTCTCGTCTATTGAGCATTGCATGGTTTATGTGAAGGACGATCCAGTCAAACAGAGCACTGTACAAACACTTGGCCATGGAGTCCCGCATTTTGGAGGCCTATACACAGAAACATCAAACAAAGCAAATCACAAACAAAAGAAACGTACTTTGATGCAGGATGATTACAAAAAAAATGCATTTTAATGATTGAGGTGAATTAGTGACTGTATACATATGGGTTCAGCCCTAATACTAAATTTGAACTCAATACCTTTAGTAGTGTGTACTGTGAGACAATGAAAGCCTTGCCGGTCACTATTCTCTTCTTGGTCAAAGCCTTCACCAGAAGCTCCTTTTTAACCTAGAAAAAAGGAAAAGAAAAATACAACTAGACAAAACTGTAGAATATAAAACAACACATTATTAAATCCACAAGAAAATCACTAACAACTACAGTACTGGAGAAAATAAGTGTGGTGACAATGCTGTTCTCTGCTGTTGCTCTGCTCTGCTTGAGTGACACTTTGTAGTTATTGTGATTTCATCCCAAGTAAACTAGCACAACTCACCTGGAGAGTTCTAGTGTAGATAATAACCCCAGATGCTGGTTTAACATTATATAGTGTACCCCTGCTTAGCAAACATGATCAACCATTAGGAGCCATACCTTGAGCAGGTGAGACAGTGTAGACAAGACTTCAGGAGGTCCAACCTCCAGGACCTGACCGTCCTCTGACAGCGTGTATGTCACATTGCCCAGGTGCAGGATGGCAGAGAGGATGGAAAATATGCTGCATGGTGAGAAAAAAAGCCATGCTAAGATATCTATGAAGCCCTTTATTAAAGAAAAATACGTTTATTTTTACTTTGACCATATTTTGACTATATTCCTGTTTCTAAGTTAACACTGCTTTGTAGATTTAATCACTAACTGTTTCGGTTTCAGTTGTTATTCACCACAAGAACCAAGCTGAACAGATTACAATCTATGCAAGCGCTTTACTGCATGTGTATGCCATGTCCCCAGGCTGTCAGGTGCTTGCCAACATGCTCGCTGCATTTTTCTCCTGCTGGACTTGACAAGCTCAGACTTGCCAGTGACACAGATAGAAAAGCTGAAACTCCAGATGGCATTTGGTTAAATTACACATTACTTTGCCCGCCTGCACATTTTTATAATGGTACAACAAAGAGAAAAAAAAAAAGTGAAACACCATTGTAAATATCATTATGACTGAGAAGTAGAGTGAAATATTGCCTACAAGAGCAACTGAGTGAACTTTGCTGTAATAACACAGTATATATCCTCAGACTGTCTACAGTATTGTACTGGTACTATTTGTCCTTGATGATAAATCTCAGACAAAAAAGGAAAATAATTATAATTTTAAAATATTAGTGTTTAAATACTGGTTTTGCAGTGGTTCGTTAACTATTCTTCAAACATTATGGAAAATGTATATACAAATGCCTGCAGCATTTCAGTTGTTGATTATAAAACCATACATACTGTTTCTTGGTGGAGGCCAGGAATCCAACCATTTCCATAGCCTGATGCAGCCTCTTGTATTCCTGTCCAAGTTTCTCCTCATCATCTAACTGGAGGTCTTTCTGCAACGGGCAGAAAAACATGGAAAGAGCGAGAGTGAACATTAAGCACAGCCACAGAGGAGTGTGAATGGACACAGGCAGCACTGTCAAACTAAGCTGTCCACACATAACCACTAATATATAAACGACATCAGTTTTGTGTTTTTATACACAAACATTTACTGTTACCATCTTTAATGGATGTCATGCTCCTTTTTGAGTTATCCCTTTCCAATTTTTTGTCTGTCATACCTGCAAGTTTAATTAAGTGACACTGACAAATAAAAATTACACAGCATCTAACTGAGCCGTAAGCCTGTCCTTGTGTATTTTGTAGCATGTTAGCAAGGCAATTATCCATGACTCATGACTGCAGCTGGAATACACTGATTATACTGTAAATACTGTAAAGCTGCTAAAACAAACAATAAGTGTGACAGTAGTTCCTAAAGTGGAATGTGATGGTGAAAATTGCTGGTAGTTGGCCCACTAAACCAAACAAACCAGAACCCATGCAGAGACCAACTTTTTCAGGCGGTCCTACTGTATTTTTTAGTCCATCCAAGAGTTCAGCCAAAACACAGCATTTTCAAAAGACATAAATAAATAGGACTAAATGGGTAAATGTGTCCGTATGTTCAACAAGCTCCTAAACAAGTTAGACGCCAGCACGTTCTCAGAATAATAAAATGATTTTGAAAGAAGCAGATGCACTGTAAGCCTAGTTTTACTGTTTTATCTGAGTATCTGTTTATTCACTTCACAGGAGAAGCTTTGACACGCAACAATTTCCTGTTACTGATACTGTGGGTCTGTTTCTATGAAACACCTACCACTGGTTTTCCTCATTTGATAACATCAAATGACCCATCATGTCTTATACCTGTCTTCCATCTCCTCTATTACTGCTCCTGCTAAGACTGCAGATCAATGGTACCTGGTTGAGGTAGAGATAATCCTGTGGATTTAACAGATGGAACTCCTCCTGCTCCTCTTTGGACGCACCTGCCAGCAGATAGTAGAACACATGGAAGTTCCTGTAGGTCAGAGGTCACAGAACGCACACACAGCCAGTCAGGGCTCACGCAAGTTTTATTTCAACTCTTATTTACTCAGAATTTCACTGCACAGATAGCTGTAAAGGTGTGTTTTGAGTATGGTCTGCTTTTATTGGCCCATGCAACAGGTCACTGGCATCTGACAATCCTTATTATACCTCTCACTCTTATTTCTGCACACCAGGCGGGACTTTTCTAGTAGGTATTTTTCAACAACTGCCCTACAAGAGACACAGAACAAGAGAATGTCAACAAAACCTGTGAAACTTTGATGAGGTTGCCAACACAGTCCAATTATGACATAAAAAGAAGAATTAACTGTCAAAATAAATAGATCAAGTGAGATAAACTGTGCTGCAGAAGCCTTAAAGATGAGCACAGTAAATGGTATATAAAAATGAGTACAGGGGTTGGTGAGAAAAATAAAACATTATGCCTCACCCTCTGATGACACCGCTCTGCAGGTAGTTTAGCTGGATGAACTTCCCAAAGCGACTGGAGTTGTTATTCTGTGTGGTCTTAGCGTTGCCAAAGGCCTGTTTGAAACATGAGGAACACCAGTTTTAAAACAGACACATTTATAAGAATGTTTCTCACAGATGCTGGCAGCCAGATCTAAACATTGTACAAGCTTGCTACACAAATCAGTTTGTAGAAGAGTGTTTCTGTTAGCAATGTTAACAACAAAATCTAACAGTGATGTTCATTCTAATGTGTAGTCTGCAACAAAATCTGATAACTAAGAGACAAAGTAAACGAGACTAGACAGAAAGTGCAGTGATAGTGGGACGTATCAAAATGACCAAAGCCAAATCTAACAATCAGTGGGGGATACACAAGAACGGTAGAGTAGTATCTGCTGAGAGGGGATTAGTCAGTTAATCAACCACCAGATAACAAGCTCAATAACTGACTCATTACTGAGTCATCAAGTTAAAAAGCCAAACATTATCTGGTTTCCTTATCTCAACTGTGAGAATTTTCAGCTAAATTCCATTTCCTTTTATAGTACAGGACAGTACCTGACAATCACTTTCATTATGGACAAATCTGTTCAATTAACCAATAAATGGTTCAGTCCAAAAACATGCCAGAAAAGAATTTAAACATCTACTTGTCTTTAGATGTCTTGCTTTGATCAACAGACCAAAACCCAAAGATATTCATTTTACAATAAAATAAAAGAGAAAGAATTAACAAACCTTCATAACAGTGAAGCTGCAATCAGAGAATGAATGATCTTAATTATTGATTGACTAATGTATTTACTAATTATTTCAACTCTGCTAATACAAATCAAATATCTAAACTGTGTCATGATTCTGTCTGATTGTTCTCAACTCCTGTTCAGACTTTCCAGCTTTATTCTTGTTACCTGTGATTCCTGTTTTGACCCCGGATTGCTTTGACCATCAAGTACTGCCTTGCCCTCTGGATTTTGATAATGTTCTGTGTATTGACCTTCGCACTTTCCTCTCTGACCTCTCGTTTTTGGATCCCTTGGCTGTGCGAGTTTGCCGGCACTGACCCTGGATTGTTATTATTGACCTTGATTGCATTTCTGGACTAAAGAGGAAGCTATCTGCTCAATCTCGCCTGGCGTTTTAATTGAGTTCACGTCAGACAATACTGGCAACGTTACACGCCAGCCCTGACAAACTGTTTCAGACTAAATTTGATAAGACTTCTGATAAGCATTTGTGATGGTTTTATTTTTAGGCCAAACAATTATTTGACAACCTACTAAAATAATTGATAACAGTCAGTAATCTGACTGGTTGTACAGCTGCATGGATGCAACACAATGGAGCTGGTATCTAAGGTTCACTACCAATGACACAACTGACTCCACCCATGACAAAGTCAATGGGTACAATGACACACACAGGATTGCAAATGTTTATTAGCTTTCACTGACTGGATTAGTTTTTACATCCCACATTTTACCTTTGCTGAAAGAAAAACAAAACTACAAACGGAGCTGATACCAGCCTCTGTCGGTATCCATTCCTGTGTGAGCTATTCAAAGGTCATGTTTTAACAGGCCAAAGCAGTGCCTTCTCAGTGACTTTCATTTTCAACCAGATGTTAGAAACGGGATACAGGAGGGCAAACAATGAAAGGCATGTGGAGAGAAAACACAGGTGAAATTTCCAAGAATAAGATGGCCAATGTCAAAATGACAGCTAACCAGAACATACAGCAAGGCAGCCACAACTACACTACTACCCGTCATGATATGAAAGCTAATCCGGAGAATATTCCTTAGTGATCAATAAGCATCTAAATTACATTATGTAATTATGTGATGTCACCTGAGAACTCCATTATACCACTAATGCAACTGGTATAAAATAGATTTGGGTTACTGAGGACTGAAAGAAATACTGTGCTGAAAAACTAAATCTAGACAAAAAAAAAAAGTTTTTTAAAAAATGGTTTAAAATGTGAAAAATGGGGCTGAATTCCACCTTGAAATACAGACCTTAGGAAATCGGCCAAGCAAAGAAAGAAAAGAGTATATTTGTGTGAATGGAGTTTAAGCAAAGCGAGAGGGTGAAAAGGAGGTGATTTACACTTTGTGTAGCTACATACAGTATGTCAGCAGACCCGGCTGAGCCTGTTCTTACACGTTCCTGTCTCGGTTCTCTCTTGGTGTTCCCTCAAAGACAACGCCCTGGACATTCCCCCCGTGGACCTCAGCTTCCTGCTCACTGACACAACTGCTTACTCAGTCCGGTAAGTGCCTTTCTTTAAGAAAGCACAGTGCCATCAACATCTGCTATAGGATTTTTGCCTTAAAATACTTCTACATCTCCATTACTTACACAATGTTTTACATTGGCATTGGATACATTCTTCAGTGGCAGCTTTCTGGCACCATAAACATAAAATTCATGTTCAGTTGGCTCTACATACTGATGTCAAGGGAGATAACATTTATTGAAAATCTCGCAGGACAAAAAAAAGTCACGCTTTGGTGATTCCAGATAAAGGAACAAGCTGATAACCAAGATGGCAATCAGCAGCCAAACTACAGAACCGTAAAAAAAACACCAACTCATCCTCATTACTACAGGAGGAAACTTGTCAACAGGTCTTGGCCAATCCTTATGTACAGCTTTGGTGTAAACACTTCCTCTCCAGCCTAAAGTAAGCTTGTTCTCTATTTTCCCGGTATAAGAAGAAAAAAAAAAAATCACAGCAAGCCAACAGACCACTCTCTCTCCTCAAGTTAAATCTGTGCCTCTGTGGACACCTTAACAAAATGCCAGTGAGCTCACTTTACCAAAAAATATGCTGTTGCTTAATTCAAGCAGAAGCTTGTTGGACCTGTTCACAGAAAGGAAACTTCCATATTTAGTCATTCTCTTAAAAAAAAGACTGGTCCCTTGGAATTGTGTGTGTATGGGTATGATCGGTGATAAAGCAAGCCAGTATAATTGATGTAAAAGGATTAGTGCACATATCCAGTAGGTCTCCACACCTACTGTTCCTACACAGTTTCCTGTGTAGACTTGAATGGTGCAGTGAAGCAACATGAGCAGCATGTTCAAAGACACGTATGAAACAAGCTTTTTGTTTCAGAATATTGTATTTTTAATGATGTGAAACCAACTAGTGCTTTGCTTCCCACTTGCTGATTTGTTCTCAGGCCTTGAGAAAATGGCTTTTCCCCATTAAACACAATCTTTTGTAAGCCACAAGGAAGTGGGAATTTCCCTAAGAAGCTTATGACCTAGTTTCATGTTAGTTATCATTTAAATAAATCATGTAATTTAACAGAGAACTGAAACAGAAAGCAGATAATGCAGGGAAATGCCGACAAATGCAACAACCTGTCAGAATTAAACTGACATTACTATATGTGGTAGTGTCATCAGACACAGCTTTACTCTTTAAGGAAATATGGGAGCTTCACACAAATGTGCGAGGACTGTATTTTGAAAGACCAACAATTAGACATTTGGATAGCAAGACAACATAAATGACAAACACTCTTCTGTTAACTTTGTAGAGGTAGTACAACTCTATAAAGTTGATAGAGTGAAACACAGACGTGGTGGCTGGCTTCACAGTGACCTACCTCTAGCACTGGGCCCGCCCCGAGGATGGTCCTTTCCAGCCCACTGGAGTATGTCTTCTGGCTGAGAGCAGTCAAGCAGTGGATGAGATAACTGCTGCTTTCAGTCTTCCCCGAGCCACTCTCACCAGATATCACAATACACTGGTTAACCTGCCTGTTCAGCATGGCATGGAAGGCCACGTCGGCTATAGCAAATATATGAGGGCTGAGTTTGCCTAGTGGCTGGTTCTCGTACATCTTGACATACATGGGGTTGTAGTAAACAGGTAGGAACTTATTGGGATTAACGGCGATGAGGATGTTGCCTGCATAGGTGTAAATTTTGAGCCTGTAGAATCGCTGACGTAAAGCCTCCAGGACACTCTCCTCAGTCACAGTTTGGAGGTTGCAAAGGTCATCACAGTCCTCTCTGCTACTTTGTTCCTGCTGCTGCTGCAGGATGAAATAGTAACCCTGGCTCTGAAGATGCCACTTCTGTGCCTCTGGTGGCCACAGCAGGACTCGCTCCAGAGGACAGTCCCCAGCCTCCAATAGCCTCTCCCCTCTGCCAGTCTTCCTAACCTCCAGCAGGCTGTACGGCTGACTGGAGTCCAGGCCCAGATTGACCACAGCATTGTGAATGACTGTCCTCACTGTATCCTGGGCGCTGACCTGCAGGGGACAGTAGGCAGCGGTGCCCTGGGACAGCCTGGGGTAGATCTGCACAACACGGGTCTCTCCATCCTGCTCAGGGGCCCTAGCTTCATCTGTAGTGCTCATCCTGATACAGAGACAGGCTTCAGCACAGCTGGCTGCCCCAACACTTTGCCAGCACCCACTGTAGAAATGGACACATACTGTCACCAAATACCAATTTACAATGTAGGAACGATAGTGAAAATTAAATACTAGCTAATCTAATCTTTAGATACTTTACTCTTTATAATAAAACTGAATTTTTTATGGCATAAATATACTGCCACTCACAATATGATGTAAATCCCTACTGTATCAGAGATATTCCACACACCCCTCTTCCCCATTAAAATTCCCACCTATACAACCGGCCAGGCGTCAAATGCCAAACAGTAACACGTATCAAACAGGACCCAAATGTCACAATAACTCTCACCTTTCGAGGAAAACCAGTCATTTCATCCCCAGAAGCCGAAATACTCATGTCAGGGAGTACGAGCTCTGCACTTCCAGGTAGTGTTAACGAACTCCAATCACAACTTAAGGAAAAAATGTTTCTTCACCTGCGCTTTCCCAAAAGGTAAACCAAGGAACTACTTCTACGCACGTCTAAATGACGAAAACTTAATTTTCCATCAATTCTTCGTCCGTATTATTCGTATAAATCAGTTTCTGAAATCGTGGATGACCGTCCCCTCCTCGTCCTCCTGTGCGACAACTTAGCCTAACGTTACTTCCTAGATTCCTTCACACACTCGAAATACACAACAACACACACACACACACCCGTCGACAAGGTGGAAATAAATGGACGGCTTTCCCTTCACTGACCTGAAATGCGTCACCCTTTCGCTCCCAGGTGTTAAAACTGCTGATTAGTAAAACACCACCTGACCTTGTAACAGAGTGACACTTTGACATAACCGAGAAGTTAATAAAGAGAGAATGCACAGTTTTATTGATCTCGTTTGTTATTACAGGTAGGCTGTGAGTGTTGTCCGCCCCCTAGTGGACATATGAAATATTACAACCATCTCAATCATAAAGACGTGGATGGACCATTGACCCAAGGAGTCCGGGAGTCTGGGGACTTTCTTTTGGAGGCCCAGAGAGAGAACATGATCCAATATTGAGCCATTGGACTAAACTACCTTCGCATTTAAACTAGCTCCACATTGAGCAGCAGGTTCCAAATCCCTTCAACAATTTAAATAACATTTTAGCATAAAATTACATTGTGAATGTAGCTGCTAAAAATAAGAGGTTGTTTAGTATAGCTTTGAAAAATAGGGTAAGGTTATAAAAAGTTAGGTGGCTTGAGCTGCTAAAACTTCATGTGATAAATTCCAATAATGTTTTGTAAATAATGTAACTGTTTCTCACTCACTTTCCCACTGTACTGTAATGTTCAACAGGGACTGCGTTCATACAACTTTATGATGAAATAATAAAAGCTGAAATTTGTCTGTGAGGTGTAGACAAACCTTAAACCTCAGGTCTACTGAGAGGGCACCTTTTTTTTTTTATCGGGAACACGCTGTTCATATTTACACCTGGAAGCTGCCCAGCACCCCAGTCTGACCAGCTGGCCACTGAGCAGCTCCACCGGAGCAGCTGGAGTTAAGGACCTTGCACAGTGGTGTTGAAGAGGGCGAGGTGCATGTCGCTTTTTAATCTGTCCCATCCAGATTAAATTCTGTTTTTAATCTCTGGGAAAAAGCTTAAAAATTAAATGTAGCCTGAAGAAAACCTTGCTTACAGCACCGCAGAAAAGCAGATAAGATGATTTTTCACTAGACATTTTTGTTGCTTTCAGTGTAAGTATTGACATATTTTAAAAAAGACAAAAGTAGGGCCTATGTGTTTTTAGATGCATTTGACACCTTCATGATCAGTGATGTAAACATGAAACAGCAAAAATCAACTTACATAACGATTGAATAAAAAGTCCAGTCTGCCTTTTCAGTATTTAGTTGCACACATACTGTAATTACAATGAAATTAATACAAATAGCAATTCAACAAGTCTGCAAATTTTTTAATAAATGCATCCACAGGAAAATGGTCCAAGGTGAAAAGTAATTGTTCACACTGCAACCCGACAACTGAGGACATCCAAAATCAATAGCATGTCTTAAGACAACCAGTTTTGCTTATGCTAATGCAGCGCCCATCCATTCAGCTGTATAATGACTGCAGAGGTGTTGAGGTGGTGTATCCCAATTTGGTGAAGAAGCTTGCAGACACACTGACAGCTTATTATAGTGTGAGGAATGAACAGAGGCAATGTAAAGTGTTACTCAGCATAAATCAGCTGCTGTTGATAATGGCTACCTGCAAAGGCAGCCACATTCACCCACACAGGAAGACAAATGAGGACGCATATACACACACAGAGAGAAAAAAGCACATACACTTCATTACTCGTTACTTTTTGTCAGAATTGCAAGTTCATTATTCCCCTGACAAAATACCTGCTGCTGTGTGCTGTGATAAACATGGTTGTGGTCATTTCTGGTGTGTTTGTTCTGATTATTTTAATGGGGATGATGATTACAGCCTCATTAGCACTGATGGTATCTTAATAGGTGTCACTCTTGTTCCTGCTGGACTGAGCCAGTTCTGCAAAAACACACCGAATCCAGTTCAGTAGGTACACGAGTACACAACCCCAAAATGCCTCATTATCACATTTCCAAAATGATTGAAGGCATATAATTTAACAAGTTATGGTTCTATTTTAAACACTGCAAAGCAAAGAACATGAAAATTTGGACAAAAATGATACTTTTAGTGACAGCAGCCATTTTTATGGAAAATAAGCACTGTCACTCACAAATCACGCTAACTACAGTAGATCTTTGGTCATGTGTTGCTGCCATTTCTTTTCCTTCTTCATAAAACCCCTATAGATGTTTTCATCCTATGCATCCTTCTTCTCCTCTCAGGTACGTGGGCAGCTCATTCTTTCATGTCAGACACTGAACTTAGCCACTGTGAACAATTCCTGTTTGGTTCAATGCTCACTAATGAGCTAAGCTCTGCATCTTTAGAAAAGTCATCTCAGAAGGAATCTGAGCTGTGTGCTATGTGTGCAAGGGGAACAAAACTTTATACAAAAGATTTTTATGGAGGTCATACATTTAATTGAAGCTGTAACCACAGTGCTGCTGAAACCACTAGCTGCTGCTATGCTGCAACTTACCAAATGAGAAATCCAGGTCCACTGCAGGCAATGAAAAATAAGATACAGGAAAAACAGAGGAAATTTGCTCATAAAAACAAACTTGATAGTCAAATATATAAGACTGACCACTAATAGAATGTGTGGAGACATGAGACAATGGTTGGCTAAAGAGTTTGACCACAGCTTTAAAATGCAATAGCTGAATAGCTCGTTTCATGACCTGTATGTTAATAAGCCTTTAAAAAATGACAGTGCCTCCTCAAACCCAGTAGCAGATCTAGGACATTTTGGACGGGGTGGCCACGTTGGGGCACAGACTCAGAGAGGGGTGGCATGTTTGAAATACATGTAAAAAGTTAATTAAACCTCTAGTTTTATGAAATAATAAACCATACATGATTAAAAAGTTTATTTTGTGTAAAAATGAGACACACACAGTGGTGTCTTTAGCTAACTTCAGCTGTGCTCCTTATTTACTCCCAGCCAGGGACATCACTGTCCCCCCCAACCTGAATCACTGGAGAAACGAATGCAGATATCATGCTACATGCATGTTACCAAATAAAGCTAATTTTATCAATATCAGTTATAAACCACCAGAAAATTTTAGCTGTGTTTAAGGCAATGAGTTGTCATTGGTTTTCATTTTTCATTCATTCATATAAAGTTCAGTATTTTCCTGAAACATAGTATAGTAGAAGGACACAGTGCAGCAGAAAACTGTAGTAAATGTATTTAGTTACTTTTCACCACTGATCAATTCAATTGACTAAAGAGGAAAAGTAAAACAGTCAAACCAGCTTTGGGCAACACCATCCTAGAAAGTTTGATAACCTAGATGTAAATTTCATGGTGACTGGGGATTTTATAAACTTTAAATTCAGATATCGGCTGCCTCGTTGTTCTGTGAAGAGTAACTAACCTTCGCTGTGTGTACTGAGACAGTTTGCCTAAGCCTCAGGACACAGGCTCAATTTTCAGAATAAACTGTTGGTCCGCTCAAACAGTGGTGTCATGACGTCACCACTGAGTAGAAAACAACTTTTTCTCATGTTCGTCCCACTCAGTGTGCAGGAGCCTTCCTTTCTTTATACTTGTTTCTCACGTATTCTGTCTAAATAATCTTCAATATTTCCGAGTTAGCTAATCAAATGCTATAATTTCTTAATCACTTTTTTAAATTGATGTTGTAAACCACCATTATAGGGTTTGTCCTCAAAGTGAGTTGGATTTCACACTTGTGCACAAATCTTGTCAATACAACCCAAGAGTTGGATTAGTTTCAAGGGTATCAGCGTCCAAGTGAAGCTACCTGAGCTTGACTAGCATTATGTCATTTTTCACCTGGCTTCAGGATAAGAAAAGGCAGCTGCAGCCTTTGTCGTCCCGACACCTCCTCCTCTCCTGTGGGGAAGGAGTGTGATGATCCATCTTAGGAATAAATAAGCAGGATAACAAAGCCTCCACTATTGCCTTCTTACATGACTTTATTCAACTTTTCCTGACTTGTTCTGCTCAGGTTCATGGTCTCGTCTAGCAGGGTGAACCAAGCACAACCTTTCAGAGATGGGGAAATGTGAATGGAATTGGAGGATAAAGAAAGAAAAAATGAAAGAGCGACAGAATGAAACAGTCTGTACAGCCATATTCAACAAAAATATTCCCTTTGTAAAGCTGCACATAAATGCATTACATTATCATACACATTGATAAAGGTTTAATGTTTGCTGCATCCTATCTTACAGTCTGAAGACACAGAAACCAGCTGTCATGCATCTAGCTTTAAAAGCACCTGTAAAGGATGTGAATCTCAACTTACCTGTCAGTAAACAAGAGCGACAACAGAGAGAGGCCCTCAGTGTTGATCACTCTCTGCTGGCTTCTCTGTTTTCTGTTGCATGCTCTTAGCGAGACAGTGCTGCTTTCTGCTCCTCAAGCTGCTCAGTGTGAAGTGTGGGTGAGCAATGGGGGGGAGCGTGTGTGAAAAGGGAGAAGGCACAAAAGAGGGTGGGGAGATGGGTAAGGGGAGGAGGAGAGGGAGGGAGAGAGGATGATGGGACAGGTGTGGAATTTACACACCCGGCTGGAAGCGTGCACTATTGGCATATTTGCTTCAGCATAATGAGTCACCCTTCTTATGGTGGAAGTCAGAGAAAATGTGTGTTTCTGAGCGAGAAGAGGACACAGACAGAATTATAAAGGAGTGGAAAGTCTGCAGAATGTGGCACTGTTTCTGTCCAGGTTTTGAATTGTAACTTAAAGGATAAGGCCAGCCATTTTTTATATTAACAGTATTTCCAACCACCCCTATAGAGAGACTAAAACTGACAGTGAATTGCTTCTACTCATAATTAATGTCTGTCAATCTGTCAGAACTGGATTAGCTTATTTGTCTGTACCATAGACCTGCATAGTTGTCTCTGAACTGGGTGACACGTTTCCTCCTTAAGAAACACCAGACCGTGATATTAAAAAAAAAAAAGGACAGGTTCCGGATTTGAGCCCTAGCTGACCCTGTTGTGGAGTTTACATGTTCTCCCTTTGCTTAGGCTCAGGTTGATGGATGTGTGTGGTTGTCTGTCTCTTGACCCTCTTCATGATAAGTGGTACAGATAACGAATAATGGGTGATAATGTGTTCACAACTTGTGTTCCCCAAGCGGCTAGAGAAGCTGGATAGGAAAGGTGTCATTTTGACAAAATCAGAAAAACGTGGTCCATATACTTCCAGTAGAAAAAGG